GTTATTTAATTGTCACGTATGTGTGTATGCTTTTTAAAGTGCGAACGTTATGATTATCTTAAGCTCCTCCTAATATGTGAGGCCTTTTGATCAGCCGTGGATGTCTTTCATACTTTTTTATATGTATATATATATGATGGGCCGACGTTTCACCACTATCTCGCCTGCTGGTAAGCGATTATGCGGTCTACGATGGAGCACGTCGTCCCATAAGCAACCTATTCACTCGGGCCTTGAAGACAATCAGGTATATACCCCCTTCTGGAAATACAGACTCGGGCAAAGAATTCCACTCCTTAGCAGTAGGTTACTAGGTTCCTTAGCGCTTCGTGCGTGTGGGTGCGACATCTACCATGGACTGATATTGATCATCATCATCAGCTATAAGACGTCAACTACCAAACAAAGGTCCCCCAATGACTTGAAAGGTGACCCAAATCAGTCGGTTCGAATAGTATAGAATGCTAAAAATGGAAAGTTTCTTTAAAAAAACGCCTTATCGTACACAACATAACCCAATTACCTATAAATTACGAGTATTACTTTATCAATATTAAATTATTATCGATACGAAAGATTCTGGAACTGGGCCGAGTTATCATGTCCGTTTCATTGTATAGGTACGTATCTATATACATTTTTTCTTTGATTAACTTTACTATTGTTGGAAGATAACCATCAAGGAAAAGGGATGTCGCTGATTTTAAAATCTGTACATAAACTAGAAACATAGATTATATTATAATTTCGTGATACATACTAAATTATTATTATTATTTTTTATATTAAATGGGACTGACGTTTGACCACTATATCGCCTGGTGGTAAGCGATGATGTGGCCTACGATGGAGGACGTCGTCCCGTAAGCAACTTATTCACTCGGGCCTTGAAGACACCCAGGTTATACCCTTTAGGAAATACAGACTCTAGCAAAGAACTCCACTCCTTAGCAGTACGCACAAGCTTGATGCGAAGCGCTTCGTGCGTGGGAGGATCTACCATGAATCGG